TAGAATTCCCCTCCCATCCCACCAAAGCAGCCGGGGCCTCTGAACCCTGGCAAAGCAAGAAATGCTCAGCCAGTGCCTCGTTTCTCTTTTAGTAGTCTCAATACCACCACCTTCGGGGTGCATCATTTTCTAATTCTGTGGCATAGAGATTCCACCCCAGGGAGGCGAGCCAGGATGGCAAAGCTGGGGACCGCCCCCTCCGCCCCCAGGCTGCTCAATGCCATCAAGGTGAGTTAAATCTGTGCCACCTTGCTGGTCCTGCTCCCTCAGCTGTGGGGGACCCATCCAGGCACACCGCTCTTCACCAATGTGACTTCAACATCTCATCATAAAATGAAACGATTCTGCTGTTTACACTGTTAGCTACATTTATCTTTAAGAGCAAGATGTTGAGTTTAGTTTTAATGATGAAAAAAGCCTTTCAAAGGATAACTCATTGGAACTCATTATGTACTATAAAGGCCACTATTTAAAGATTCAGTAATTCCAGTGATGATCTTTTTAAAGCAGATTTATAGCAGAAAATAGTTAGATTCTTTGACTTCGGTTATAATTTTCCATTTTGTAATTTAATACTCCTTTAGTTTATATTTGTACATTAAAAATATAGCATCTAAAAGTCCATCATTAAATACTTTTAATAAGTGCAATAAATAAGTTTTACAGTGTGCATAAATCTAAAAACAAAACCCAACATAAATTGTTAATCTTACACTTTTTCTCATTAATTGCAATACATAAACATATGTTTTATACAAAGATATTTGCTACAAAATAAGTATAATAAATACAGTTTACCACATGTATTAATCTTAATAGTTACAAGCTGTTAATCTTATATATTAGGTAATAATTTGCAATAAATAATTGTTTATTATCTTGATGTTTGCTTGTCTTGGGTTTTAGCAATATGCAATAAAGAAATGCAATTTTGAATAATTTGATTGTAAGACTGCTGGGGAAATACTGTATGTTATAATTAGCTGAGAGAGGTTTCTGTTCACAAGAAGAACCATGCAGATGGGGGGAAATCACCAAACCATACGTTAGTGAGTCCATAAATAATTGTGAAAGTTAAGTTCAGTTTCAAATAATACACATTTTTTAAAACTTAAATGCAAAAGCAATTAGTGCAACCTGTCCCGTTCTTGAGTGCTTTTATCATTACATATTCAAGGTAGACAAAGGGAGCAGGAAGCCCCACGGACACTGCCCAGTTCTCGAAGTGGCAAGATGACTGCCTTCCGTGGAAAGAGTGGACGGCTGGCCCCACCGGCGCGGGGCTCCCCGCAACCCATAAACACACCCCCTCAAACAGCACCGTCCACACCTGACCTTCAGCAGGCACTCTGAAAACCACATGCTATTTTTCAGGGAGGGGTTGTCACATTGACTAAACTTAATAAAAACTGTTAATCTTATATGTAAAGGTAATAATTTGTCATAAATAATTGTTCATTATCTGGGTATTTGCTTGTCTTGGAGTTTAGCAATATGCAATAAAGCAGTGCAATTTTGAGTAATTTGATTGTAAGACTGCTGGGGAAATGCAGTGGATTGTAATGAGCGGAGGGAGGGTCCTGTGGGCGAGAGACACTGAGACAGAACCAGACCACCGTCTACCAGTGAATGTAAAGCCAGCGTCCTCGCTGCTGATAACATGGGGTCTTTAAATATTCACTCCAAGACAGAGAGCGGACTAGCTCCCTTTCTTCTGTTCCTGACAGTGAAAACTTCACTGGGAGGAAACAGCTCTGGCTGAATTAGGACTGGATCCCTTAGTGATGCTGAGGTTGTCCCCAGGGAAGCTCAGGTCCCATGGCGGGGAGGGGGCTGGAAATGCAGCTGCAGGGGAGAGTCTTGGCCAAGACTCCACAAGGCCCTTGTGCTGGCCACTTGGCATCGAAGGCTCACCTGTGTGCCTGACCCTTCTCACTGCGGCAGCCACACCCTGTCACATCCCTGCAGGTGCAGAGCTGGAGCGGTCCCAGCCAAGTGAGACTGTGTAGTCGGGGAGTGAGCACCCTGTGGGCTTTGTGGGATCCCAAAGGCACAGTCACTTTAGGAAAGCCTCCCCCAGCCAAGAAAAGAAAGGAGGGAGGGAGAGGGAAAGAAAGAAGGGAGGGTGGAGGGAGGAAGAGAGGATGAGAGAAAGAGAGAAAGAGAGAAACAAAGAGAGGAAGGAAGGAAGGAAGAGAGAAAAGAAAGAAAGAGAGAAAAGGAGAAAGAAAGAAAACAAGAAAGAAAGAAAGAAAGAAAGAAAGAAAGAAAGAAAGAAAGAAAAGGAAAAAGAAAACAGAAAGAAAGAAAGAAAACAAGAAAGAGAGAGAAAAAGAAAAAAGAGAGAAAGGAAACAAGAAAGGGAGAGAGAAAGTAAGGAAGGAAAGAAAGAAAACGGAAGGAAGAAAGAAGGAAAGAAAGAAAGAAAGAAAGAAAGAAAGAAAGAAAGAAAGAAAGAAAGAAAGAAAGAAAAAGAAAATAAGAAAGGGAGAGAGAAAACAAGAAAGAAAGAGAGAGAAAAAGAAAGAAAAAAGAGAGAGAAAGAAAACAAGAAAGGGAGAGAGAGAGAGAAAGGAAGGAAGGAAGGGAGGGGGGGAAGGAGGAAGGGAGGAGGGAACCAGACAGAATCCCAGATGGATTATAACCCCAAACAACTTTTTCTGCTGTAGACAATATCAGCACCCCCGTAAAAACATACACATACTGACATGCATCAAGTGGTAGAAAAGTCTCCCACATCAAAGCACACTAACAGCATGTTCCTGTGGTTTTAACATCTTCCGTGCTTCTGGTACTACAAGCCCCTGGTACCACCAGCCTGGCTTCCCCCTTTTACACACAGCCTCCAGCCTCACCTGAAGTGTGAACCCCTGGCACCTCTCTGCCCAGGCTGAGTGTGTCTCAGTGCACAACCTGGGAGGGGGCTGTTCATGAGGGCAACAGAACAGCTCAGTGCATGGGCACTCCCACCCAGGGCTGGGCTTCAGGTAGAGCTAGTTCCAGGTTCCCAGGAGCAAGTTCCAGGAGCCCAAGGTCCAAGAGGTCTGAAGACAACAAGGGCCCACTGATTTGTCCTCTCCTCAGTCAGAGTGAGCAGCTCCCCTCCCATCACCCTGCCCTCTGCCAGGCTGAGAGAGCCAGGCTGGCCAGGGATGGAAGCCATAGCCCTCAGCTCTCAGGTGTCCCTCCTCCCAGGCTCACCAACCCCTCAATCCTGGATAGGAGACAACAGGACAATAGCTCTCAGGTTGCTGCTAGACCCCCAGGAGGAGGGACCTGCCCACAAGCTCCCCCTTCCCGCCCGCCCCCAAATCCGGAGATTGAAGAGGCCTCCTGAAGTTCCTAAGGGGTCAGCAGAGCCCCACCCCAGCTCATTAAAGGGAAGAAATTTTAGGACCTTGCAGGATAGTCTGGAAACCCAGGCTAATCCAGACTCCTGGTGGAGGGCCCAGCGTGAAACGGGGACCACTTTAATGTGAGAGCCCCAAAGGGGGGGGGGCGCGCGCTCTTCTCAAGCTCAAGGGGAAGGGAAAGATGGCTGGAAAAGTCTGCTGTTCAGAGGCCACCGCCACAGAAAGCCAGGAATGACGAACACTCAAGAGCCATTCGGGCAGATGGAAACGCGCCTTCCCCCTCGCCTGAAGATGCAAAAAGCAATCCGAGTCCCTGGGCGGCGTGGGGCAACTGCGGAAATCTCGCAGCCAGATGAAGCTCATAAATTTCCCCTATGAACAATTGTTTTCATTTCCCTCCCATGCCACTAGATATTATAAGTGGAAAGCAAAACACAAGTAAATATGTTCATTCCACTCTTGTGATCAGTGATAAACGAGAGACTGCAGAGGCTGACAAAGGTCAGCGGGCCGCGTGCGGCGGGTCTGCGAGCGGACACTGCCACCCTCCGGCCAAGTGCGGGACTGCACCGGCCGGCACCGGCCGGCACCGCCCGACTCGCCTGCCCGTCCAGGGAAGCGCGTGGGGCGCAGGCTCACTTTCCAGACGTTCACTTCGTTCACTTCGCTCCACTCGGGACATCAATACATACAAACTGCAGAAAAGTGAGGAAGTGCAGAAAACCTCAAATTAAAAATAACCATCACTCATTGCCCCTCTCCCGAATATAACCACTTTTATTTACATTTTAGCCCATTTTCCTGGTCTTATGCTAGGAGCTTTCTATGATGGGTACAGAAGATATACATACAAAATATAAAAGTGTTCATGCAGTGTCCAATCATGGATTTCCCAGGCAACATTTAAGCTAAACTAATTTCCATAAATATCTTTTTAAGGGCTGCATAATATTTCAACTTGTGACTATATCAAAAGTTATTTATACATCCCCCAATTATTGTTCATTTAAAGTGCTTCTAACGTTGGAATCATTCTAGATAATGCTGTAACTAAAATCTTCATGCATGAACTTCTGTTCACATTGTTGAGATCACTAGAGGTGGAATTACTAAGAAGATAAACATTTTTAAGGCTCTTAATGACATTACTGTTTTCTAGATGCGCAATGTCGATATGCAGAATATTATGAGAAATGATGGGTGAACATCAAACTGTACTCAAATGAATAATAAAAATAGATGCACTGGCTCTTGGGCAGGGAGGCTCTGTCTGTACCCTCACCATGTCGATCTTACCCCATCTAATCTTTCAACCAAACGCAAGTCCAAAAAACTCCTTCAAAGCTTTTTTGATATTTTGTCACATTGATTTCAAATTTCACTTGAAAGTACAAATAAGTAAAAAATAGCCAAGAAATATTTTCGTAAAAAAGGAAAAGAGAGAGAGGGAGAAATGGGATTCGTTCAACCAGATCTTAAAACATATTGCAGAAAGCAACAATAATTAAAACAGTGGCACACAGGGGCACCTGAGTGGCTCAGTTGGTTAAGCATGCAACTCTTCATCTCAGCTCAAGTCTTGATCTCAAGGTAGTGAGTTCAAGCCCCATGTTGGGCTCCATGCTGAGTGTAGCCTACATTAAAAAAAAAAAAAAAAAACTGAAGCGCAAAAGAGAGTGCAGAAAGACTCACATATGCATACATTTATATTTTTAACACAAAGGCATTTCATATCAATGAGGAAAGGATAAGTAATCCATAATAATATAAGTACAATCTGCCACTCACCCAGAAAATAAAATTAGTACCCTGCTTGATACCACATATTAAAGGAAATCTTATAGTAATTAAAGATTTAAAATTTTAAGTGAAACGAAAAAGTACCATCTACATAAATTGTCATGGGGAAGCTTTTTCTAAATCCAATTCCAAGGGCAGAAACTAGAAAGAAAAAAAGATAGCTAAATTTGAATTGTACAAATTTAAAATATCCACATGTGAAAAATACAGTTTTGCAATTGAAAGGTAAACCAAAACCAGGGGAAAAGATTTAATACATATAACAGAAGGTTAATTCCCCTAATGTATAAAGCTTTCTTACAAACGAACAACGAAGAAATATTTTAACAGGAAAAACCGTATTGAGGACATGAATAGCAATTCACAAAAGAATAAATTCAAATGATAAATAAGCATATAAAAGATGCTCAACCTTATTAGTCATCAAAGACATGCAAATTTAAGCAAAAATGAGATCATAGGGGCTCCTGTATTGGTAAAGGTAGAAACAGTGATATAGAGTGTTGTTAAAGGCAAAGAAATGAACCCTTTCGACACCACTGGTTGATAGGATAGGTTGGGTAAACTTTATGAAGGGTAATTTGGTAATTTTATCAAAATCCTTAAAAATGCACAACCCAAAGACTCTGCTTTCAAAGGAATCACTCACGGATGTGTATAGAGATTTAGCTCAAGCTGTTCATTGCTTTGGGGAAACGAATCATATGTCCAACAAGAGAAAAGTAAACAGACATGTACATAGATATGTATGTATATATATAAATTCTCCATACAACAGAGTCCTCAAGAGTAATGTCCTAAAAATGTACTTATTAACCTTTAAGGATTTATCATAATATACTGTTAAGTAATAAAAGGTAAATTACAATGTAACTGTGCTTCCTGCATGCACAGAAAAAACTGTAAGGGTACACGTCCAAATAATTATAGTGTGTGAGGTTGTAAGTAATTTTTAATATTCTTTTTGCTGATTGGTATTTTCTAACTTTGCACATTTAATGATTTCTTATCAATTGTTAATGAGAAAAATCGTTTTCAGTGGTTTCCTAGAAATGTACTGATTTACATTCCCGCCAGTGGTGCATTTAGGTGTTTGTTCATATAGTCATGGAATATGCTCCAGTGCATACTCAGACTAAGGCACTTTCTAGAAGCTGAGCCACAGGCATAAACCCTGATGGAGTCACAGTTTTGAGAGATGGAGAACAAAGGGAGAAAGCAGAGATGGGGTGCTGTGGAGGAAGCAGGGTGAGCTGAGAGGGAGAGCTGGGGAAGGGAGCTACCCCTGGGAGGGACTCAGGGAGGGCCACTCGGAGGAGGTGAACAAAGAGAAGAAACCGGAGTGGGGTGAGAAGCGGGTCACCGCACATCTGGGCAAGCATTTCCCACAGAGAAAGCAGCAGGTTGAAGGCCAGGGGATTGGGGAGCAGGTTGCAGGAACAGCAAGGAGGCAAGGAAAAAAGCAAAGGCAAGATGGCAGAAGGTAGGGTCCGGCACATTGAGAGAGGGTATGAGTTCTCACATCCTGGAGAACCTTCTGGGCCATAGTAGGAAGTTTGAATTTTCTTCTGGGTGTAATTGCAATAGGACCAGTGGAAGATTTTGTGCGGAAGGATGGGATCCAATTTCATTTCCGCAGACACCACGACTCCGGTTGAGTCAGGAGGTCACTGCAGATGCTGGGCCTGAGCTGGGGTGTCCTTGCTTGTGCCAGGCCGGCAACCTTGGCCCCCACACTTGACAATTCCGTAAGCAACCATGAGTGCATCTTGGGGGTGGAATCTTGTTTTTCTCCTCAGGGCCCCTGGTCAACAAAGATGCTCAGGCAGTTCATCTCTCAGTAGATCTGGACTTTTTTTGAAAAAAGAGAACCAGGCCAAGAGCGTTGACTGGAGATACATCATCCGCCATCCCTCCTCAGTCCAGAAATCATCCTACAAATTGGCCTTGGGTCCAACCAAAATGTTGACCAGTTAGTGGTGAAGCAAAGACAGGAGAACATGTATTATTGACCCATTCAATCATCTACCCTTACTTTGTATCCATCACCACATGGTCCAGCCTAGAAATCATACTTTCTCCAAAATCTAGATCGAAAGTTTTCCTACATCCAATGCCCCATGTGATGGGAGGAGGAATATATGGGATTTTACACCTTTTTTCAGGGTTAGGAGATCACTAATGGATTTCCATGACTTATTTCCTCCTGAGTTCCAATGTGAGTCCACTGTATTTATATGGGGGCAGGGGCGGAATTCTATGTTTTCCCTGCTAAATCTTTTAAAAATCATTATCACCATTTGTATATAAAAATTAATCAAAATTTTTTCTTAAAATTATTCTTCTAAATTGAGGTGCCTATTCTAGACCTCCACATCTGCATTCCCCAATTACAGGAGGTCTCTGCCTCTCCCGGGTACCGTATTCCCATTTCTCTGTGCACTGCTTCCCCAGTATCTGAAGAGGTCTGTGTTACCACGCTCGGGAAAACTGTTCTTTTGTACCCAGTAAGCCCCCTTGGGGTGTTGGGGGATAGGGGACCTGGGAGCTGGGCCCTGGGGACAGTGTGAGGTTAGTCCTGTGCCTTCCTAGGGGTCAGACACTAGGATCCATCACCTCTGTGCAAATAGCTCAGAGATGAATTTGTGATTTCCATCATCCTCACCCAAATCCAGAGCTGGCTCGAGGAGCCTGTGCTTGGGATGGGGGAGAGGGAGTTTCTTTTGTGCGACACAGCTCAGGAGTCCAGGCAGGGTCCAAATGCCCGGGGACAAACTGGTTCAGTAGATGTGTGAAGGCACCAGACAGGAGGTACCAGGTGGTTATAGGTACTAAGATTCCAGGTTGGTGCCCTCTCGGCCACCTGAAAATCCATCTGTCCCAAGTAAGGCATGTGATTTAAAAAAAAAAAAAAAAGTCATCCCCAAAAGAGTCTTCTGGGCACAGTCCCACCCAAAAAGCTAGCCCTGGGACCCACAGTATTGACATGGAAAGCAGGAAGTGAAATGCAAAGCTGACCGTGGACATCTTAGCGCCAGGAGGCTCTGACGGGGCCCCGGGCCCCCTGGGTCTCACAAAAGCCACAGCCCCGCCCGAGACCACATCGCGGGACAGAGGCAGCCTGGACATGCAGTGGGAAGGCCTGCCCCTTCCACCCTGCCTGCTTCAACAAAGGGAAGCGGGAGCGCACAAGGGGTGGCCTGTGTGCACGAGCCTCTGTGAACACCCTAACTCTGGACGTGGACTCCACGGCTCTGTCCTGGTGCTTGGTATGATGCCTGGCACATGGCAGATACTTATCAGTGTTTGCCACACAGAGAAAGCACAGAGGAGAGTGGGAGGGATGCGTAGACACACTCCAGTGGCTTGTTCCTCTACCCGCTTTGTATCCAAAGGCGGCAGGGATCCACTTCATACAAGCATTGCTGCTGGGAAGAAGGCCATGCCCACGTCCGGGGGTGGGGGTGTTGGGGGGCTTGTACCTTCAGAACCAATCACCTTCCCCAAGACCCCGGGGTGTCCACGTGCTGCTGAGGAAGGACACAGCAAAGTCGGACAAAGCTGGGTCTCTGTCTGCCCATCTGTGAGCTGGTGGCTTGTCCCAGGATTCTAATGACATAATGAGCACAAAAGTTCCTCACTAGCCAGGGGGCTAAAGGCATCACTGTGCCGTGTTTAAGGGAAGCCGTGTTTGCTGCTGGCCAGAGCAGGGAGGGGTTGGGCGGGTGGAAGTGAATATGCCTGTGAGCGTCACACCTGAGGCCAGAACTGTAGCCCTGGGCATCCTGCCCCTGCCCATGGGGACCAGAACTGGGGACTGGATGAGTCCCTGCTGAGTGCAGAGCAAAGGAGCAGCTATGGACCTTCAGCAATGCACCGCCCCTGGAGGAAGGGGAGGGCTCCTGGTTGCAGGACAGCCCCATGTCTGAGTGTCTGTGCGCCAAGTGACTTCCTTCCCCCAGGGGCACCTCCCCTCCTTTCTCAAAAATGGTTAAGGGATGAGAGGCGAGATAAATTAGGAAGTAGATAGGCACATTTAATAAACATTGAGTTGTTTTTTTTATCCCAACATTAGATTCCTAAACAGACACTCAGCCATGCTCCCTCCACAAAATTAGTGCAGAACGTACTAGAAACAAAAGGATTAGTTGCGCTGACCCTGCTCTTTTCCCACCAAGCCACATGCTCTGGGAACAGTCTATGTCACACTGTCTGCATGACCAGTAAAGGGTCCCAGGGCTGGAAAGGGAAGGATAAGACCCTGCACCAACACCAAACCCATCCTAGGCAGAGCTCTGGGAATGTGGAGCCACCTCCTGCACCCCCTGACATGTTGGGGGGCTGACCATGCCCTTCAGCGACCCTCACCACCCTCAGGCTCACCGAAGATACACAATATACTTTGACCCAGCATGCTCTCCCTTGAGCTGCTCCACTAAGGGATCCAAGGACAAAACTGCCCATTTGGAGATGCGCAGGGGTGTCCTGAGAGCCTGCCCCACGTCTGCCATACTTAGGCCTGAGGAGATCACCAGAAAAGGCAAAGAGGCAGTTCCAGCCCAGGGAGCTCATAGTGAGTGTGGAGAGAGAAGACCCAAGCTACAAGGCGATCCCGGAGGAGGCGGCAAGGGTGGACTGCCCTGGGCTATGTGGCCCCGGCGAGCCCAGCAGAGCAGGACTGGTGGCAGAGATCCATACAGGCTGGGCAGGCAGGGGCTCATCCTGGGGGGAGTAGTATGCCTCTGAAAGCCAGGCCAGGGGGAGGGACAGGGTCAGCAGGCTGCTCACAGCAGGGCCGCAGACAGAAGTGACAGGGCATCCTGCTGGGGAGGGAGGGGTCATGAGCTCTGAAAGACTGGGGGCTCCCCCTGCCCCCATCCCACATGGCTCCTGCCTCACATTGAACACACCAAGTCCTCCTCCTCATCTACAACTGAGTGTGTACTGTCCCTTCTCTCTGGAACTTTCTCCCTGATTAGCTGATAGGCATGCACTCCCCTTCCTCAGGGGCATATTTTCTATATTTTCCATATTTTCCACCACCACCCCACACCCCAGACCTGACCCTAGTCTACCGACTCACAGCGACAGGTCTAGGGTGAGGAAAGTGAGGCACTCACCTCAAACTGTAAGGAGGCACCAAAAAACTCAACAATCAAGGCAAGTGCAATATTTTCAAAAATCACAATTGATGTGAAAAAAAATTCATAAGAGCAAAAATCTCAGAATTCTCAATAGAGACAGGGTCAGCTGCCGAACCCCCACCTCTTCACACCGTCATGGCACTGAGCCCTGTGTCCTCATGGGGACATTCCATACTCCCTGTAATTCCATACTTGCTGGGGTGATGGCTGGATTAGTCTCTGTCCCCACAAGGGCAAGGGCAGCATGCTTCAACTAGCCCTGGTGTGCCTGGCCTCGGTGAAGAGGTGCCCAGGAACCCCGCAATGAGCATCGCAGGTGGGACACAGCCCCAAAGGCCCGGCCACTGCAGCCCAGCAAGTCCCCTCTTCTCAAAGGTAGGAGCCCAAGCTGGGCTCCGATGAGCCCTTTGCTGTCATTTGCACGATAATACAGTAAGTGCGGAGCTGACCAGATAGATGAAGCGAAGCCCCGGAAAAACAATCAGGCAGATCCAGGATAAATGTGTGACCGATGTCCTGTGGGTCCTGCGACTTTTCTCCACCTTTCCCGAGGACCACAGCCAAATGGCCATGGGATGAGGGTGTGTCCGGCTACTCGAGGGGCCTGGCCTCCTGGGCTCCTGCTACTGGGGAGCCAGGTTGGGTCCATTCCAAGGCAGTCACTCTCTGTCCACTTCTTCACGGAGAACATTTCTATTTTGACAAAGCGCCATTTGAGGCTGGCCTGGAATCACAGTGTATAGGTTTGCCTGAAACATGCTAAAATTCAGACAACTGCTAAATAAAAATCCCCAAATAACTATGCTCTATTTTTGCATTTTTACAAGTTCTTTGAAAGGAAAAAGGGTGGGGGGAGAGAGATTAAGAAATACAGAATTTTTCCGTGTTCTTACCTGATGTCCCGGTTGCAAGAGAAATGGGAAGCTGGGGAGCGCATGAGCAACGGGGGTTCCCACGCGGGGCTGGGCAGCACTTGAAGGGCCAGGACCTCAGCCCCCTGACACGCTGCTCGGCAGGTGGCCATTGTCCCATTCATCTCTATGCACCTGCCTTTGCCTCTGGTCTGGAGAAGCAGCTGTGCTTTTTTGCCTGGGAGGATGGAAGAAGTACCCCCAATTTTCACCATGCACACCCCTGGCTCCTGGAAGGATGCCCAGCTAGAGAGGTGCCCGTGTGCAGCCCCTGATGCCAACAGCCCAGCCCGGCTGGCCTCTAGGTACCCAGGCCAAGCCGGAAACCAGCCGGGTTCATTGTTGAGGGGGGATAGATGCAGGAGGGGGAAGCAAGACGCTGTTGTGATTCTTTGTTAAAGACTCATAAGCCCTGCCAAAGGGTCAGTCTCCCTTTCAGAAAGGACATTAGGTGCCATTTTCCTTCTGGAAGCCCCATAAATCCCCACGTGTCCTCGATATACAATTCAAAAAAGGCCTCAAAATTGCCATCGCTGTCATGCTAAGCACTGGAAAGTTCTGCTTGACCTTTTATTAACATTTTTCTAAACCAATATGTTTTTTTTTTTGCTACAAGCACCCTGAGGAATTATGAAAAATACTTTTTTCTGTAGTTTATCCCATATGCACTTAATAGGCTCACAAATATAATACCATTATAAAAAAGAAAAACTGCCAACTCTGCTAAAAAAAATTGTCATAACACTAAATTATTATATAAATATAAAAGGAGTGTGTCTGTAAAATATTCACTCAATGAACATCCCAAGGTGATGGTTTTGCTATGTTGTTTTTATTCCTGAGAGATCCATAATGCATTTGGATATGCCACATGTCACCACATGAATCAGGCAGTTAATGCATGTGCTTTTTAGAAGCAGGGATGTCTTCCCAATAGAATGCGCTATAAAAAAATGTCGAGATCCAGCTGCTTTGTCTGATAGGCATAATTTAATGTCTTGCTTATAATACTGCATCTTAAGGAAAAATACACACTGTCCTATGTAGTTATTTACAATATATTGCTAAGTCTATGCAAATATGTTTCCCCGAGCCTGGGATTATATAACAAAGGTCAACAATGTTTGAAATATTTTGAAGCATATTCCCAATATGCTTAGGGTATGGTGCTAATGTCCAATATATGCACATATATCTTAATATATTTCCAGATATTTCTGTTCATTGTTCTCTCCATAGCTTCCCACAGAATACTATTAGAGGAATGTTTCTTCTGAAGAAAGCCAAACATTGCCTATCCATCTTGGAAAAATTTATTAAGGTGGCTAATTATGCGGTCCTTAATATTACATTAGTATGGAGGTTGCTCAGTGCCACTGCATAAGAGGGAAAGATAGAAACCAGTTCGATAATACTGAAACCAGAGATTCAACATATGCAAAAAACCAACGCACACCTATGTGATCTTATTTTTCTGTCACAGATTTCCAAAGCAGGCAATTAAACTTAGGTATTACATGTGTGCATACACATGCACACACATGGGATTGTGATTTGGCATACGTGAAAACAAAGATTACGAGCCACACATTTTACTTCTCACTCCCAAATATTGCAAATGCTGTCCTTGTTTTTCTGAGGGGACTTCTGTGATCACATTCCATCCAGGTCGCTTTCTTAAGGAAAGAAGGTTTGGCTAGTTACACAGGGTGAGGGAAAGGGTCGTAAAAACCAGACCTCCAGCATCCAAGCCGTGCCCAGAAGAGAATATAAAGGAGAGAATGTTTGTATCAAAGGTATCTGAGATCGGAGTCCTCAACTTCATCTTTTATTCCAAATTGCTCTGTTCCCTTATGTTCTCCAGTCATTGGGTTTGACCAAATTAAAGAAGACTACACAGTCCACCCAGATGTCAAAACAAGCAGCTGATGCCGTTAAGAAGCGGTCCCTTCTAGAAAAAGATGCTCATGCCCAGTATGTGGACCAAACCGGAATGGTCAGCCAGCTCTTCGTTTCGGTGCTATTGTGATACCATGTAGCCATCACCAGCTCTGGGCCATATCACTCCAGTGGTCACTCTGCCAGTTTCAGGTCCCCCTGGTCTTTAGGGTCCTCAAAAACCCCAAGGCAATACCCTTCCAACCAATCCACTTTTAAGACACTACAAATATCACCCACTTTCAAGGACTATGAAGTATGTCTAGATGTTTAGATTGGCACCTTTTTTTTAAGAGAAGGAGGTGACGGGAGGGGTAGATGGAGAGGGAGAGATAGAATCTTAAGCAGGCTCAACACCCAACACAGAGCCCGACGCAGGGCTCGATCTCACAACCCTGAGATCATGACCTGAGCCGAAATCAAGAGTCAGCTACTGGGCGCCTGGGTGGCTCAGTTGGTTAAGCGACTGCCTTCGGCTCAGGTCATGATCCTGGAGTTCCAGGATCGAGTCCCGCATCGGGCTCCCTGCTCGGAGGGGAGTCTGCTTCTCCTCTGACCCTCCCCCCTCTCCTGCTCTCTCTCTCTCATTCTCTCTCTCAAATAAATAAATAAAATCTTTAAAAAAAAAAAAAAGAGTCAGCTACTTAACCGACTAAGCTACACAGGCACCCCTAGATCAGCACCTTTTATTAGAATCCTTTTCTATATTATCAATCCAGCCAACCACATGGCCTGCCTGATGAGGCCTCCAGGGAAAAAAGGGGCAAAGCTGTGAAATCAGCCCTTTTTTTTTTCAGTTAGTGCTTTGCATCCCCATCACCAGAAGAAACAACTTATCCCGAACCACCCTGAACACAGACTCCCCTAGGAGAACAATCACAGATACAGAATGCAGGTCTCCTCATGCAAAGGCACACTCTCTTTTTTCTCCAGAGCCTTATTCCAAATGACTCTCTTGCTTGACTGTCCATGGGGTCCCCCGGACCCCAGTAATGATCCCCAATGTGTGAGGGGAGTCAGGAAGATAGGACATGCATACCCATGTGCACTAAAGGCAGCCCCCGTTTCCTGCTAACACCACACATTGGCTCTCGTGGAGCATTCCAGAAGGTTTTAAGGAAGGATTTTCGTGAAGAAAGGCCCAGAGAGCCATGCGTATCTTTGTTCTCCCACTGGAAATTCGACTGTATATAAGGAAGAGCAAATGTTAAATCATTTAAAGAGAGTTATTTTTCATAGTTTCCAGTACATAAATGTGCTCCAGTACATGTTATTGTAAAATAGTGTTTCTACTTACATTCTTATACATCTCTTGTTGTGTTTACTCATCCTCTAGTTCTGACTTTTAGAAATAACAATAAATCTATTTTTTAATCCCCTCTCCTGATGACGGATTATTCATCGCTAAAAGGGATGGAGGGAGGCCCACGTGAGGAGTGACCCGCTCTCTAGAGCAAGCTCCGCTCTCGCAAGATAAACAGGGTCCGGGGAGATTCTTCTTCTGTCCCGGGTAGTTTATGCAAACTAAATAAGAGTTGGTGGCAGCTCAAATAAATATAAACTACCCTCCAGTGAAAACTCCAACCACTTGTTACAGTCAATTTCAGCAAGGAGGGGACGATGGTGACAACTACACACACAGTAGAATTCATTTTTACACCATCCCCCTAATATGAAGATCACAAATGGCTTCGTGGAGTCAGTCATCACTGAGCTAAACCCAAGAGGATGGGAAGTCAACCAGGTAGAAGGAGGAGGAGGAGCCTCCACGTCTGGAAAGAGCCAGAGGGATGTGTAAAAGTCAGGATAGGATGGGTTTGTGCTGCTGTAACAAACAACCCCAGAATCTCGGTGGCTTAACACAGCAATGTTACTTTCCCCGCTCTCACGAAACCCGCTGAAAATCTGGGCGGCTCGTAGGACAGCTCTGCTACATCCCGTGTGACTCATTAGTCCAGGCTGTGTCAATCTTGCTTGGGTTCCTACATCTCAGCATAGGCCTCTATGAGCAGAGGAAGTCAGAGAGAGCCATGATGAGCCGCACACAGGCTCTTCTATGCTTTCAGCGGGAAGCAGCCCTTTGGCCAAACAGAAGATACAACCCTCTGTGTTTGCAAGGAGGCTGGGAAATTTGGGAGAATGGACAGGAATGCTTGGTGGACATCACTATCTCTACCACTGCTAATAAATGATCTCACAGAGAATCGGTCATCATAGAAGGAAGATAGTTCCTAAGCAGAACATATAATGAAGGACATTCCAAGCACTTTTTCTAAAAAACTGTTTCCTCCCTTTGTCTCCAACTAAACTGTGCTTTGCTTAACTGGATTCCTTGGGCTAAGAGAGTAAGGCAAAGTCATTTCCTCATCTATAATATGGGGGGTAACAATGCCGGTCTAACAGCCTACTATAAAGATCTATGACTTCATGAATTTTACTTTTTTTAAGATTTTAAGATTTTTTAAGATTTTATTTATTTATTTGAGAGAGAGAGTATGAGCAAAGGGAGGGGCAGAGGGACAAGCAGAGCACGGAGTCTGCCACAGAGCTCGATTGCAGGACCCTGAGATCATGACCTGAACTGAAGTCAGATGCTTAACAGACCGAGCCACCCAGTGCCCCTAAGACTTCACGAATTTTAAACTGTGCACTGTGGGTGCACACATACAGGTTAGTAGAAATAACATCCGTAGCCATTTGGCCAGCGTTTTAGTGTGTTGGGACATGCCCTGGTTCAATGACTAGAACCATGGTCTCCAGAGTAGTCACCAAATGGTTCTATTTGATGTTTAGCTGGTTGCTTTGGAAACCACATTGCTTTTAAAGCCCTCCGTATTCCCATTTGCTTTAACATGTCCTCCCCCTCTCTCCTGTATACAAGTTCTTACTGAGTTTCAGAAATCCCAGGTTCCATGTACTTGATCCCAAAGCAGAATGCCTAGATTATTGGCCAGAATTTTGTTTTTTAGATGAATTCCAACACTTTCCCAAGATAAATTGCAGCTTGGATTCCCTATCAGGTTATCAGATTTGCACTTAGCACATGGTTCATTTTGTTAGTTTTCCCACACTGGAAAGTCAATTCTAATGGATATGTGAGAAGGACATGGGATCCAGCTATTTTTCTGATGGTCTAATGCTGATTTTCTCACTGGGTTTTTGGGAGCGTTTGTTTGTTTTTTGTTTAGCCATGTATTACAAACTATCCTTCCTAAAAGCTTCTTGACAACTTATCATCTCTAGGTCACATTAGAAATGACCAATGGTTGGGGCGCCTGGGTGGCTCAGTTGGTTGGGCGACTGCCTTCGGCTCAGGTCATGATCCTGGAGTCCCTGGATCGAGTCCCGCATCGGGCTCTCTGCTCGGCAGGGAGCCTGCTTCTCCCTCTGACCCTCCCCCCTCTCATGTGCTCTCTCTCTCTCTCTCATTCTCTCTGTCTCAAATAAATAATAAATAAAATCTTTAAAAAAAATAAAAAAAAAGAAATGACCGATGGCAAACAAAACTACCCTGAGACTCGACAAAAGGAAAAAAATGAGGTAGAAACTCTCTCATCGGTTCAGTGGAGATGGCGTGGCACGGCAGAGTGGAAGAACCTTGACTTTGACCTTGGGTTCCAATCTCAACTCCGCCATTTGCTAACTTGGTCTTGAGCCAATGGCGCCCATTCTTTGGCCCGTCCTGGCAGGGGAGAAGGACAATATAGGGAGGGTTCCACGGACAACATGCCAAAGACTGTGGCTTGGTGAGTATGGAGTGCTCAGTGAAATCCTGTTCTCCTACTCAAACCTCTGGTGACACACTCACCCCTGGGCATCCAAAGTGTGATAAAACTGTGCCCCCACGTAAGTGTCACGGGCACACTAGTTCAGGGCGTATCTGTGACTTGTCTCCTCTTTCCACCTCCCTGTTGGTAAAAGGGAGTCACTTCCAGAAAGGTGCCCTTGTGGCTTGACCTCTGACCCCAGAAGCACCCCAACAGGGCCGTCCCATCCAACCATGGGTTTTCCGGCCCAACACTCACAGTCAGAGTCTGGCCATTGCTGTTGCTGCCTCCTCCAATATCACAGATCAAAATTTTTATTGAAATCATGGGTCCGTTCTCAGAATATACCAGCCAGTGCCCAGTTCAGCTTGCTTAACCAGTCTATCAGCTATTTCAATCAAATTAAAAAAAAAAAAAGACAAAGATAAAATCATTAGAAATGCTAATTTGTCACTGCAAATCTGGCAAGCAGGGCCCATGTTTTGCAAGCAGCTTAAATATTATACTTTTGTGCTTTCCTAAACTAATTTAGCCTGCTAATTTTCTATAATTACCTGAATGCTCTTAGCTTCCGCTGGTCAGATGAGTTCTGAGACACTTATATAACCAGCATTAAAAAGATGCATTTAGCAGCTTGTATTGTTAAAGTAACAAAGCCTATAGAATCCAGAGGTTATTGTATTCTCCCAAAAGTACTTAAATAATAGCCTAAAATCTGAAGAATTACTTTAATACTTCAATAAAAATAACCCAATTCAAAACATTTTCAAGGAAACAGAGTTCTTTGCTCTAGGCTACCGAGTAATGGCTGAGAGAAAGTATATAGCCTGTCACTTCTGATTAGAGAACTGTGCCTCTGTGCTTTGAATGAGGGGCATGTCTGGTAATAGGAAGTGCAGATATTAAAGTTAATAAAATAATGTGGAATACGATATATATGAAACTTGACCAAGTATAGCACAGAATATAACATACATTACCCTGTTCAGTCAACTCCTGTGGCCCGGCATCTAATGACAAGCTTAATTTCTGTTTCCAATGAGGGTACAGCTAAAAATACAATTTCCAGATTAGACAAATATTTTATCCGACTCCCTAACAAATGTAACCAGGAATGGCTGACATGTCTACACAGATGCCCAGCGACCATGAGAGGGAATTATTAGGATTGCAAACTGCTCAGCCTGAAAAGTCCATGAAACCTCATCATCTTTGAGGTCATTATAAATAATTAGTTGCAAACATGGCGATGTAGCAGCCTTATCACTGGAAAAGGACAGGGGCGCCTCCATTTCTCTCCCGCCCTGAGAGGCTCTCGGCTCCCTCTCGACACAATTAGGTCTCCCCAAACAACTGGGCATCAAGGCCCCTGCACACCCATGATTGCATCTTTAATCTCAAACCCCAACGCCAACTGTAATGGTTTTGTTTTTCGATACATTAACCTTCAACTTGTATTTTCACTATTAAATAACCAGCTTGAGAACCTCCTAGAATTTTTTTTCTTCCCAGTCACCTCCATGAAACCATATGGTACCCATGATGTGACCCTCTTAAGGGATTTAAAAGCAATTCAATGACCTAATCTCAGTAAACCCAGAATTAAAGTTCTTGTTTCCATATTTCACTTTCAAAATATTTAGAACTTTGACAGATATGACATTATGTTTTCATTAAAACAGCTGATTTCAAAATGCTGCACTGTGCAGAAACGCCATAAACAGTTTATGATGAACTGCCACGCTCTTAATTAAAACAATAAATCCAGCACACAATATTTGTGCAGCCTCCGGTCTGACCTTTGCCTCTTGCTATCCACCACCAAGCCGCGGCTGCGTTCCCAACGCCAGACATAGAAGGTTTTAAAACATGATCTGAAAGGCACTAAAGATAAAATAAGAGAAAACGTACCATTAGTCTTCGCAGTTATGATTAATTCAGTTCATATTTTACAATCTGGTTATGGAGTAAAACTGCAGACTTTACATCAAGTATTTGCCATTCACTATACCTAATGTATAAAAATGCTTGATATTTTAGAAAATGGCACCAAGCTAATTCACCGCAACCCCATTGAAGGACAGGCATTGAAATCATAAACACGGAGAGTGATGAGCTCTCCGTCTGAAGTGACGAACAGCACTCACTCGGGTGGATGGTCAGCCTCGGACGATAAATATGCCGGTTGCAGCCTGTCCCCCATGCCACTCTCGTCTCCGTGCTGCTAGATTTCAGATTAAAATATTCCCTTAAATCTCTCCCATCTGCTGCTGGAGCAGCCGGCAAGGGTGTTGATTACCAAGCAGGAATAACGGTAAATTTGTGGTACTGACCCGGAGTCACCAAGTCAACCTCAGACCCCAGCAGCTCCAAGGCTGGAAACTGTTCTGAACTGGGTCACAGAGCACCCCATATTGAGAGGGAAGCAGGGTGGCTGGGAGACCCCATTCCGCAGCTCTGATTCAAAGGACATACAGCTGGCCAGCAACCTGGCTTCATAAGATAATAGCCCCAGCCACGGGAAGAGCAGAGACTTCCTGCAGGAAGGGGAGGGTGTGTCCAAGCTCCTCTGGGATTATAGGGACTAACCACATGGTGCCTGCTGCAGGCTGGTCCCCAAACACCTCCCATCATACCTGACCCAAGCATAGGTGTCCAGCCCCTTCCTCCAGACCTTCCCACCACCACCCCCACCCTGTGCATATTTACATATGACAAACGCATGCATGTGGCACATGGACACGTTCAGAGCTGGGTCCAACAAAGCCTGGGAGGCTGGGTGACAACCAAGAGGATGGCAATGAGCTGGACTCCCCCCACCCCACCCTGCGCAGGCAGGTCCTTGTTGGAACTGCAGGTAGAGCCTGGAAAGATGGAGAAGGAAGCTGTGCTGGCCAGAGGAGGCCATGCAGGCTCTCAATCCAGGACCTACACCTATTCTGTCCACATCGAAAGGAATGGAATACCAGGTGAACCACCTCCTATTGTGAGGGCAAGACCCCCACCCTACCTAGCTGGCTCTGGCTTTCACCCATCTCTGTAGCCTCATCTTGCCTGCCTTCTCCCCTCTCCAGACACCTGACTTCCCACCAAAGACCCCTTCCAGCCCACGCAGCATTGTGGACTCACAGCTCTAGCTGTGTCCCAGCGATGGAGGGGACCAAAGCTGCTTACCCCTGCTCATGGAGAGTCCAAAGGTAACCTCCAGGGATATATGCCTACCTACTCCCAGAGCCTTCTTCAGCCCTTCCTTGGTTGGGGAATTCTGCCCCAGGTATCCTAGCAGGAAAAGGGCCCTACAGAAAAGCTGGGCCATGGGAGGGGGGGTTGGGGGGGGTCTCTGAGTACAATGCAGGATTTCCATGCCCCACACCCAAGCCCTGCCTCAGGACCAGCCTCGCCCTCTGCAGGAGACATCACTCAGTGCCTTTGCCCTTTGAGTCAAACATCATAGTTGGGGTGCCACCCCTCCCTTTTTCCCAAAGAGGGTGCCCCAACAGGGCTGAGCCTCCAACACCCTCCAGCTGCCCCCACACCCAGACTCCTGGACCAGGAAGATCAGCCCCAGACCCTGGGCACCTGCAGTCCCCTCCACCAGCGCCATGCACTGCACCCACCCTGGCTGACTAAGGTCACACTACTGTTGTCCTTATGGTCACATTTGGCTCCTGCCACCATCTTGTGAATACCACCATTTTTCAGAAGACTGAGGCCCAGAGGAATGAAGTCTCTGTGTTAAAGTCCCCCAAGCCAGTGAATAGCACCACAGAATTAAAATCCACCTCCTCTGCCTTAGGGCTAGTGCTCCTTCAGGGAGCACTTCTGTCCTCCTTTGGACAGACTCTAAGACTCTCAAACTGAAGCCCGTGGATATATTCTCAGGGGGGCCCACAACTGCTTCTGGCGATTTTTAATTTTTTTGAGTATTTTTACGTTGGTGAAAATCCATCTAAAAGACACAATGAGTATGAACATATTCCACATCATGGAGGTGACCAACCATCATGTGATTTCCATGCCAGGTCTCATGTTTTCCATCCCGTGGATATCAAAGCACACTCTGTCATCATCAAAGACTAAAGGGGTAGAGGCTGAGTGTGCACTGGGGCTGAGGGAAGGCCAAATAAAATCGCAGAATTCTGTTCATGGGAGTGTGAGTCCTGAGTGATTCCAACCACGGTGTGGGGAAAGGGGGTGTGTGCTGTGACAGACCTGGGACCCATCAGGAGAACACAGGGGATAGCATATAACATGTCCATGCTGTTCTCCACTGAGTCACCTCTCAGTCCTCATGGAATCCACCAGCTGGACACCTGCTATCTTCACTCTCTGGTTTCTCTTGTCTCCTATAGCTCTCGTGATTTCTTTCCATCCTACACCCTCCCTCTGGATCCATGTCCCACGCTGGAGGGGCAGGGTCAGATCTTCCAGATGCTGTATTACTTTGAGATTTTAGATAGCTCAGATTCTTCAGACTGTCTCAATGAACCTTTCTTCTTATCTTGGCAGGTCTTAGAGCATAACTTTCATGTGTTGTTAGGCAAATCACGTATCTCCTCTTTATTGGTTCTTCAACAAGGAATGAGGGAGGTAAGGGAAGGGGTCGAGAAAAGAAGGAATCCCCTGTCCTGTCACCAGTGATGGTTCAAACATGGTAGAAAAGTTGAGCCAGCCCTGCCCCCACCCCACCCCACCCCCAAGACATGTAATCTTGCCAATCTGGAGAGAACCTGGGTTATATTTGCCAGTTCCAGATTTACGTTGTAAGTTGTGATTTAGTGTCAGCAAAACAACGTCATCCTTTCCATTAAGTGAATGTCGTTATTTTGAATTGCACTGGTTTTATCATTTTGTTTATATTAAATTTGTATATGAGGCCTGGTTTTATAGTTGTCTAAAAGCTATAAGCATATGGAGTTTAACCTACTTCTGTAAGATCTGTAGTCAAGAATATTACGATCTTTATCCATTGCATGGTCGTAATAATCAAAGAAAAGCATGCAGGGAAAGCGCTTCACACGGTGCCTGGCACATGAGAAGAACTCAGTAAATGTCACTAAATCTTGTTATTTTATAATAATAAACATTGCAGCAAAAAAATAATTTAAGTTACTATTGAGGATCTGCAATGTTGTTGTATTGTTTTCTTAATAAGCTACACTAATCAAACTTAAGGAGTACTGGGCTGCATTGTATGCCCCCCAAATTCATATGTTGAAGTCCTAGCCCCTGGCACAGCCCAGTGTGACCATATTTGGAGATAGGGTCTTTAAAGAGGTAATTAAGTTATAATGAGTTCTTTACGGTGGGCCCTAACCCAATGTGACAGCTGTCCTTATAAGAAGAGATTAGAACACAAACACGCATGGAGGGAAGACCATATGAGGACAGCCACCTACAGACCGAAGAGAGAGGCCTCCGAAGAAGCCAATCCTGCTGACACCTTCATCCCGGATTTCCAGCCTCAAGGACTGGTGAAAAATAGATTTCTGATGGCTAACCCCCCAAGTCTGCGGTATTTTGTTACAGCAACCTGAGCAAACCACTATACCTCTGAACCCCAAAATTTAGGAACCAACTTGCAATTTCCTGCATTCTGCTGCACCATCCCTTCCATGAAGTGAATCCTGCCCAGTTGGTTGGTCATTGGGAGGAAGGGGGAAGAAACGATGGGTAGAAGAGCTTTAGCCCACATCCTAGCCACCATCCCACCCACTGGGCTTGCTCACCACACCATGAGACCCCTGAGCTGAGCCACGTCTTTCCACCTGGCTCTGCCCCTTGGTGCCAGAGTCAGCAGGACAGACCTGGTGAACAACCCCGTGCATCTGCACCAGGTTGGGCACTTCTTGGCATGGGCATCCATCTCCGGGAGTTGTGCCTCCAGGGTGGGAGGGGGGCACACAGAACAATGCCGGGAGCTGGCCCCTGGGTGGGTGCTAATTCTTGCAGAGTGCCCAGCCCAGGCTCCGGAGCCCCAGAGCAGCCTGGCACGTTCCTCACCGCTGCACATCGATCCGAGGGGCACCCATGCCCATGGCAGGTGCCCAGCTGCTGTGCCCGGCCCTCTGCTGGGCCGTAGGACCAGAGGCACAGTCAGGATGACAGGACATCCAGGGCTGCTCAGGGCTCAGCTCGGCTTTACAAGGGGACAAATGGACCGTTTCATTTCCCAAAACAGCCTTCAGGAACACTCCCAAACGGGGCCATTAAAGAAGGTTCAGAACCAAGAACTTTTACAAGGGTTTTTATCTCTGTGTCTATTGAGTTTTATACCCCTTCAGGGTATCCAGCAGCTGTGGGCAGAGTAGGAAAAGGCCTTTCGTTAAATGCAGGAAACAGGAACAGCCCGAAATGAGTTGGACTCTTCACCCTCTGGTTTCAAGGTAACTCTTTTTTTTTTTTTTTCATTTTTATATTCTTATGTTAATCCCCATACATTACAACATTAGTTTTAGATGAAGTGTTCCATGATTCATTGTTTGTGCACAACACCCAGTGCTCCATGCAGAATGTGCCCTCCTCAATACCCACCACCAGGCTAACCCATCCTCCCACCCCCCTCCCCTCTAGAACCCTGTTTGTTTTTCAGAGTCCATCGTCTCTCATGGTTCATCTACCCCTCCGATTTCCCCGCCTCATTCTTCCCCTCCCGCTACCTTCTTCTTCTTCTTCTTCTTCTTTTTTTCCCTTAACATATATTGCATTATTTGTTTCAGAGGTACAGATCTGAGATTCAACAGTCTTGCACAATTCACAGCGCTTACCAGAGCACATACCCTCCCCAGTGTCTATCACCCAGTCCCCCCCATCCCTCCCACCCCAACCCCCACTCCAACAACACTCAGTTTGTTT